AAAAGTCTTGGAAGGAAACTCCCGAAAAGTCTTGGAAGGAAACTCCCGAAAAGTCTAGGAAGGAAACACCCGGAAAGAGCGATAGCAGCTACATTTGAACTATTTTCCCGCAAAACTAAAAGATTTGATAAATTTAAACCGGCAATAGTAGAAACTGCTCGGCCAGTAAATGGCGAATGTTTCCTTATAAGGAAACGAGTAACATTAACATTATTTGCTGTCGGTTTGTCTTGAGACGTCTACGATTTCTGATAGAAGACGTGAGTGTGCACGAAGCATTACGAATAGTTCTGCCCACATCCTGTTTTTGATATTGCATCTGTCTGATTTGTCTCAGAACAAAGGCACTCAAAAACACGGATCGATTTAAAAATACATTATAGAATTATGGCTGCTTTGTTTGTGTGTGCGGGCATGTGTTTTATTTCTATTAATATACAACCCCGTCTCTCGATGTGTATTGTCGGTGTAAGTGTAAAAATGTGAAAAAGAAATGGCGAATGTATGCGTTTCGAATTGTGCACGACACAAAGATGCGTACGTATTGATTCCGCTACAGCTTTCCGTACCTATATTTACAAAGATGGGTGGGGGGAGGGTATTAAGAAAGGAAAGATTGTGTGGTTCAAGTGATTCAAATAAGCTGAACCTGACTCTGCCTTAAAAACAAAAAGAGAATAACTAGTTGAAATCCAGGCTTCAACAACCGGCCAATGGCGGCAGTGAAAGTTAAGAAAATTCGGTAGCTACTACAATCTATCTATCTATCTATCTATCTATCTATCTATCTATCTATTTCACTCTTTTATATATCTCAGCACACATACACAAATATATATATATCTATCTTAGATTGTTCGTATCTACCTATCTAGTTCAATCAGTATATATATGTGTGTGTGTAAGCTTATTCATATCTCTGTTAATTTATCTCTCTCTCTCTATCTCTCTCTCTCTCTCTATATATATATATATATATATATATCTTAATTTATTCATATCTATCTCTGTTTTTCACTATCTTGTGTCTGTCTCTATGTCTTGGTCATTCATTGCCTCTCTCTCCGTTTCTCTCTGTGTTTCTATGCCCCACCCCCTCTTTTCTCTCTCTCTCTCTCTCTAATTCTCCATCTTTGTCTGTCTGTCTGCTTTTGTCTCTCTCTTTCCGTCTCTGTCTCACTTTTACTCCCATGGTCACTGTGGTTTTTGTTTTTTCACTATCTGTCTCTCTGTTTTTCTCTCTCATTATCTGCTTCTCCCTCTGCGTCTCTCTGTTTCTCCCCCCTCTCTCTCTCTCTGTTTTCCCTTCCACTTTCTATGCTTCTCTCTCTCTCGGTTTCTCTATGTGTCTCTGCCTCTGCCCACCTCTTTCTGTCTCTTTCCCTCTTCTTGTCTCTCTCTCTCACTCTATCTGTCCCCCTCTTTTGCTATAGCTTTCTTTGTTTTTCACTGTCTCATATCCGTCTCTCTCTCTCTCTCTTTCTTTGTTTCTCAATATCCGTTTCTCCCTCTATATCTCTTTGTTTGCCGCTGCCTCTCTCTGTTTACCCCCTATGTTTCTATGCTTCAGCCTCTATCTCTCCCTTGGTTTCTCTATGTGTCACTGTCTGTCTCTACCTCTCTCTCTCTTTCCCTCTTTCTGTCTCTCTTTCTCTCTCTCTCGCTATCTGTCACTCCCTGTCTGTGTCGCTTTCTTTGTTTTTCACTGTCTTGTGTGTGTCTCTCTCTCTTTCTCTCTCTCTCTCTCGCTATCTGTCACTACCTGTCTCTGTCGCTTTCTTTGTTTTTCACTGTCTTGTGTGTGTCTGTCTGTCTCTCTTTCTCTCTCTCTCTCGCTATCTGTCACTCCCTGTCTCTGTCGCTTTCTTTGTTTTTTACTCTCTTGTGTGTGTCTGTCTGTCTCTCTTTCTCTTTCTCTCGCTATCTGTCACTACCTGTCTCTGTCGCTTTCTTTGCTTTTCACTCTCTTGTGTGTGTCTGTCTCTCTCTTTCTCTCTCTCTCTCGCTATCTGTCACTACCTGTCTCTGTCGCTTTCTTTCTTTTTCACTGTCTTGTGTGTGTCTGTCTCTCTCTTTCTCTCTCTCTCTCGCTAGCTGTCACTACCTGTCTCTGTCTTTCTTTGTTTTTCACTCTCTTGTGTGTGTCTGTCTGTCTCGCTCTCTCTGTTTCTCACTGTCTTTTTCTCCCCATGTCTCTCTCTCTTTCCCTCTTTCTGTCTGTCTCTCTCTCTCGCTATCTGTCACTCCCTGTCTCTGTCCCTTTCTTTGTTTTTCACTTGTGTCCGTCTCTTTCTCTCTCTCTATTTCTCACTGTCTTTTTCTCCCCATGTCTCTCTCTTTTTCCCTTTCTCTCTTTCTGTCTCACTCTGTTTCCCTCTGTGTTTCTCTGCTTCTGTCTCTATCTTTCTGTCGGTTTCTCTCTGTGTCTCTGTCTGTCTCTATCTCTGTCTCTCTCCCTTCCCCTCTTTCTGTCCGTCCCCGCCCCTCTCGGTCAACCTAATATCTTTCTCTGTTTCCCACTCTGTTCCATCTGTCTCATTCTACCTTTGTCTCGCTTCATCTTTATGTCTAGGTCTCTCCATCTTTCACTCCCCCAGTCGCCCTAGCTTTCTCTCTGTTTTTCACTATCTGTTTCTCCGTATGCCTCTCTCTCACTATGCCTCTCTTTCACTGTTTCCATCTTTCTGGCTCTGCTTCTCATTCTCTCTATCTATGAACCCCCACTGTCATTTGTATCCATATCTCTGTCTCTATCGTAGGAAAAAAAAAACAGATATGTATATAGAAGTAAATCGATCTTTATTTTCTATCTTTTGCTTCGACTTCAAAGACGATGTATATATTTAATCCATAATACCTTTAGAAAAAAAAAGAGGAAAATTATACATACACACACGTGCACACACTCACACACACACGCGCGCGCAAACGCACACGCCAAATATTTTTAAGTTGATATTGAAAAATGTTTTAGCTTTTAAAGTATTGTCATTGAGATGTTGACGATGATGATGATTGGTTCTTAAAGACTCAATGGAAAAAGCAAAGGAGAGTAGTCATTCAAAAATGGCCAGTTCTTAAGGACTTAATGGAAAAGTTTGATTTCGTTCGTTTGTTTAACGGCATATCAACTGCTTATGGGTCATTTAATGACAAAATTTTATTTTCTTGTAAGTTTTGGCAATTTTTTTCCCCAAAACTGTATTGCTGGTAATTTTAATTTTTTTTAACAGGAAAATGTATTGCTGCTATTTTTTTTTTTTTTTTTACAATGTATACTATGTGCCCGTTGCTGGGACCCTAACAGGTGCTACCATCCTGGGTCAGGGTAGTTCTGCGAACAACACCAATTAAGAGATTCCACGCTCCTCAAAACCTCCCACAATGGGAAAGCAATGGAGAGGAGCCATTAAAAAACTGGTTGATGATGATGTTGATGATGATGTTGATGATGATGATGATGATGATGATAATGATGATGATGATGACCTGTTCTTAAAGGCACAATAGGAAAGAAAAATGGGGGTATCATTAAAAAAACTGGATGATGATGATAATGACGATGATGATGATGACTTGTTCCCTAAGGCACAATAGGAAAGAAAAATGGGGGTATCATTAAAAAAACTGGATGATGATGATGATGACGATGATGATGATGACTTGTTCTTAAAGGCACAATAGGAAAGAAAAAGGGGGGTATCATTAAAAAAACTGGATGATGATGATGATGACGATGATGATGATGACTTGTTCTTAAAGGCACAATAGGAAAAAAAAGGGGGGTATCATTAAAAAAACTGGATGATGATGTTGATGATGTTGATGATGATGATGATGATAATGATGATGATGATAATGATGATGATGATGACCTGTTCTTAAAGGCACAATAGGAAAGAAAAAGGGGGGTATCATTAAAAAAACTGGATGATGATGTTGATGATGTTGATGATGATGATGATGATAATGATGATGATGATAATGATGATGATGATGACCTGTTCTTAAAGGCACAATAAGAAAGAAAAAGGGAGGTATCATTAAAAAAACTGGATGATGATGATGACGATGATGATGATGACCTGTTCTTAAAGGCTCAATAGGAAAGAAAAAAAGAGGTGTCATTAAAAAACTGGATGATGATGATAATGATGAAGATGATGATAATGATGATGATTACATCTAGCTATTTCAACAATAAAATGATGAGACCTAATTGTCAATCTAGTAGAATTCTTCACACACACACACACACACACACAGAGAGAGAGAGAGAGAGAGAGAGAAACTATTTCACGGCGATGGGAAAATAACTGAAGGGTAAAATGCCAGGTTAGGGCCGATAACATTGCAGACCCTTCTTTTGATTTCGTCAAGAATTTCGAGATATATAACAGGATCACCAGACCAAGTGTGGCAGTAATATTCAATGCACACGGACGAATTTTAGATTTATAAATATGCAAGATTGATTCTGGCAAGAGAAATTGTCTGACCCGACACAATGAACCAACTTTCCTAGCAGCAGACCTTGCAATAGATTCAATATAATCATTTCACGTCATGTTAGTGGAAAACGTAAGACCGAGAAGGTTAGCATCAATCATACCGATGGACACCAAAAATAGTTCTCGAAGATAACTAAAAGATAGCTTTTTCGTTTTGGTGACGTTAAGATTTACAATCCATTTCTTGCCCCAGTTAACAACTGATTGGAGATCATTTTTTTTCAAGCTGCTAGTTTTACTTAATCAGTTCTTCGATATCTGGACTAGAGCAGCTCAGTCTTCACTCTCTAGCATTCATAGGGTTCAAAATCATGTTTCTGGTCTCATGGGTGACTTGTTTTCCGCTCAGCAAGCACATTCCCATCTTCGCAATGTTACAAGTCTAGTCTTACTCCGTTGTTGTTGTTATTTACTTTTTAATCAATTTCCCCTCAAGCAAGGCTATAATGACACTAAGACGTAATGGGCCACTGGGAGTGAAACAATAATTTTTTTTAAAAAGAAACCGGAAACCCAATCCTAAAACAAGAAACAAAGGATAAACCTCTACTTCTGTTCAAAAGAACGGGGAGGAGTGTGAACTGGTCGATAGGTGAACCAACCTACTCCTATTCATTAGTCCCACCAGCTCAAACGTTTACACCTATTACACGCCATTCTGCTTGCACGGATTCGAATTAAACTTCATTTCCTCTTCCGGGTTCCAAATCTCAGGAACAAAGTCTACTCAGACGTTTTTTTTTTTGGTTTTTGAACTGACTTTGTGCAACAGACTCCCACGTGGTGGGTTCCTTGAAAACTTTCATCTTAATCTTTAATGTTTTCAAATCAAACGTCTATCGTTAATCTTTTCAAATCAAGCGTCAATCGTTAATCTTTTCAAATCAAGTGTCAATCGTTAATCTTTTCCACTCAAGCGTCAATCGTTAATCTTTTCCAATCAAGCGTCAATCATTAATCTTTTCCAATCAAGCGTCAATCGTTAATCTTTTCAAATTAAGCGTCAATCGTTAATCTTTTCCAATCAAGCGTCAATCATTAATCTTTTCCAATCAAGCGTCAATCGTTAATCTTTTCCAATCAAGCGTCAGTCGTTAATCTTTTCCAATCAAGCGTCAATCGTTAATCGTTTCAAATCAAACGTCAATCATTAATCTTTTCAAATCAAGCGTCAATCGTTAATCGTTTCAAATCAAGCGTCAATCGTTAATCGTTTCAAATCAAACGTCAATAATTAATCTTTTCAAATCAAGCGTCAATCGTTAATCTTTTCCAATCAAGCGTCAATAATTAATCTTTTCCAATCAAGCGTCAATCGTTAATCTTTTCCAATCAAGCGTCAGTCGTTAATCTTTTCCAATCAAGCGTCAATCGTTTCCAATCAAGCGTCAATCGTTAATCGTTTCAAATCAAGCGTCAATCGTTAATCGTTTCAAATGAAGTCTCAATCGCCATCTTTATTTTCATTTGTTGCCATCTTCTCTTCCATTCACGTTCCTTACCATTTTGTTGACTGACTGCGTTTAATGGTTCTCGGGTCTTATAGTGGGTGAAATTTTGTGTGTAAAAAAAATTCAAACGTTTTACTAACTAAATACCATAAAACGCAAGTATAGTGATGTCGGAACCAGAGAAAAACTGTCGCGTCTAAAGATCGTACGTTGATGTTATTAGGAACGGATTTTCTACGAGGGCGGTGGGGTGCTGAAAACTTCTCAGACTCGCCCAGAAGGGATTTAGAAAAAATATCAATGTTTGGTTTATTTGCTTAGAATTTCGAAAGGATGTCAGGCGAAGACCTTCTTTAGCCCTTCATTTAGATATCTTTTATTACTCTATACTTTTATTTTTTTAATTATCTAATGAATATGTCTCTCCACAACTTCCTTTAATGTCATGATATTTTTGGAAAGATACTGGAATACCGTCTCGTTGCCTTATCCACCATTTTGAATTCGTCCTCCTCGACCAGTTGATATATTTTTGCCCACAAAAAACATACAATTTTTTTCCATAGTATAAATCAACAGAATATAACAGAAAGAAGAAGAAAAAGAAGATAACTATAATCAAAAATTTAAATGCAATGTCAATCGACATCTTCTGATGCCTAGATCTTGATACCCGTCCTTCTCTTTATCCTCTCCTCAAACATATCAATTTACTCTTGTTCTCAATCCTCTGTAACCCCTTGTGTGCTAGTGACACTCCCGTCTTACTTGGGATGAAATGCTTAAAAAAAAAATTATATCTCACTGAGTATCTCTCGTCATTTTTAAGGTTTGCCTTGTTGTCGCTTGATCTCAACCCCCACCCATCTCCCTTTTTAACCGCGCCCATAAAAAACATACAATTTTTTTTTTCATAGCATAAATCAAAATAAATGCAATAAAGAGAGTGCATCAAGTGGAAAAGAGAAAATGTTTTGTAAATTAGATTGGTAAAGAATCCAGCAGAGTTAGGGTTAAGGTGGTTAGACGGGCGCCTTCAAAGCTATTCGCAAAGTACAAGACGTAGTTTTCGGTGGAAGCTGGCGTCAGTAGAAGTAATATTTTATGGCAAAGACTCACATCATCTCCTACCAGGCAGGGGGGGGGTCAAGCAGTTAAGGACAGACGGAGATATGAACTGGCTGAGAAAACATTCGACATTCATTGACCAAGAGGTCAGTGCTGATTTCAGTTGAACCGCATAAAATCTTTCTTTTAATTTTTTTTTTTAAGAATATAGGTTTCGCAAGTCCAGTAATTTTATCCAGTTATGATAGGGATCTTGTTTTCTGACCTTTCTTTTTTTTAAGCTGCGTGGAACGTTAACATCTTGATTATGTCATTATTTTCTCCTTGAGTTAAATTTCCTATTCATTTTCGTGGTTGCTACTGTTGAAAATTTTGTTAGTACATTTAGTAACAAACAAAGGTATATTCGAACAAAGATAGATATAGGCCGAAATACATAAAGGCAGACAGACATATAGATAGATAGATAG